GGCCCCTCCGGCACGCGCTTTTGAACTGCTTCGGCAGCGTCTTGCAGAAGTCCAGTGAGGTAGGCAGAGGCGAGGCCGGGGCCGCGCCGCCGGGCGCCGCGGGGGCCGCGTGGCTGTAGGGACAGGCCTTGAGTGCCGGCGCCGCCGCAGGGGCCTGGCCCGCGCACTCCGGAGGCAGAGCGAGGCCAGGGTGCTTGTCACCTGCAAGGAAAGCGCAGCTAGGGCCTGCTCGACGTCCCCTAGCCACAGGGAAGGGCAGGAAGCTCCACGGCCTCGTGCAGACACCCCTGCGCACAGCCATCCCCCTCCACCCTGCCCGCAGCTCAGCACGCCAACACGCTGCTGCACTGACTCTCCCGGGCAAGGGGGCAAACGCTGCAGGCCCCCAGCACCCTGTGAAAGCTCTGCTGTGGCAGGGGATGGCACCCAGGCTTCCTGCTGGCACCAGCACCCAAAGGCACAGCCTGGCCGTCCGCCCCTGCCCGCCAGTCAGATGGCTGCAAGGCCAAGCCAAGGAGAGCCCCGCTCAGCCCCACCGCTGGCTTCAACTCACCTAGTGCAGCCGGGGGGGCCCCGAGGGGGCCGCCCTGCACGGCCCCGTTGCTGTGCTGCGAGTTCCAGAGGCCCGAGAGCTTGTGAGCAGACAAGAAAGAGCTGGGGTCCCAGTCCCCTGAGTTCCCGTGGCACGAGGAGGAAGAGGAGGAGGAGGAAGAGGAAGAGGAGTGGGAGCCACCCCCACAAGACTGCGACTTGCAGGATGTGTGGGATAACGAGACCTGGCAAGAAAAACACAGTGTGAAGCTGCAGCAGGCAGGGAGGGCAGGTGCGAAGCCTCAGCGCCCTGGCAGCAGGTCCCGACACTGCTTGCATGCCCGGTCTCCTGTGTCGGAGCACAGTGCCCAGGGAGCATCCCTGGAAGGCCCCAGCAATGCCCCCAGCTCCCGGGGGCCGGGGCAGAACAGCCAACCCTACGGCAAAGGCCATGTGCTCGGACCCAACGGGCCCAGGTTTAAGCAAGCCAAGCAGGACAGGGCTGCTCCTCCCTCACGCTCCACATCCAGACAGGCGCTGCCCCCCGGGAGCCCC